CTGGAAACTCCCCAGGGGGCAGTTGAATGCCATTTTCCATTCATCTCCTTCCTTGATGCATATTCGGTAGTAAGCTTCTCGAAGGTCTAGTTTGGTGAAAACTTTTCCTTTAGCCAGGTGGGCTAGCATGTCCTTCATGAGGGGAAGAGGATATAAGTTGTGTACGCAAACAGCGTTGATATCACTAAAATCAACAACCAGGCGCATAGAGCCGTCTTTCTTCTCTTTGAAGAGGACCGGTGCTGCAACCCGTGGTTTGGCTGGCTCAATGAAACCCCTTTGTAGGTTCTTGTCTATGTAGTTCCGCATTTCTTGCATTTCATGGGGCGTCATGGCATACAATTTAGGTTTAGGTAGTTTCGCCCCAGGGATGATCTCGATGGCGCAATCGGCCTCGCGGTGGGGGTGGGTGGAACGTCACACTTGGCCTCGCTAAACACCTCTGCAAGGTCTTGGTATTCCTCTGGGATTTGTTCTGTCTCATGGGAGCTGTGGGATGCGGCCGCCAGTTGCTCTGGTGTACCCTTAGGGAGAGACCCTTGTGTCGGTGGCATCTTCCCTTGCTGTGGCAGGAGGGATTGTGGCCCCTGCGTGGGGGGCATCTCCCCTGGTTCGAGTGGCAGGGGTTGGGGGCCCTTTGCTATCCTCAGCCTGCGGGTTCCCTCTTGCCACCAGATTATGGGGCCCCATTTGTCTAGCCAAGAGAGTCCCAGTATGACTGGGTCTGTCATTTGGGGGCTATTATGAACCGAATCGTTTCCCAGTGATCTGCTAGCTCCAGCTTCACTGGCTCGGTCAGATGTGTGGTGTAAGTTCCCCCCACTAGGGATCCATCAACTTGTTCAAATTGGATTGGGTGGTTGAGCTTTTTGACTCGGATCCCCAATTTTAGGACTGTGGGTAGGTTAATCAGGCACCTTGTGCAGCCCGAATCTATTAGGGCTTGGAAAGTCCCTTGGGTCCCTGTTTTTGGGGCCGTTAGGCGTATAGGGAAGAGAAAAGGGTGGATGGGTCCACTCACCACTGGGTCATCTTCACCCTCATCCTCGCTGTCATATGATTCAGGGGATTGATTTCCATCATCTGGGATCCCCCTTGTTTCGGTCAAGTGGGCGAAGACCTCTGGACCCTGGGGGACATTCCGTGGTGTGTTGGTGGCACGCTTGGGCCCTCGTTCCGGTCGTGCCTTGGGTGGTGGGTCTGGCCTCGGGGTTCCACACGTTGCTGCCAGTTGACCAATCCCCCCACACCTGTAGCACCTCAGTGGGCTCCGTGGGATGACTGGCCTCTGGGTAGGCTGTGGTGCTGTGGTTTCTTGTCTACTGGGTGGTCCCTGGTCTGGTTGGCCTCTCTGGTTGCCATCTGGTTGCTTTGACATGTCGTTGGCACGCAATCCACTGTTGACTTTTATTACTACTCGGAACCACTCAGAGAGCTGGTTTGGGATATCCAGGTAAACGGTTACCTGGGCAATTTGATTGTCCAGGCTTGTTCTGAAAAAGTGCACTAGCAACTGCTCTGGCAAGGGGGGTAGCTTCCCAATGATTCTCCTAAATTCACAGATGTGCTCTTTAATGGGACGGCCCCTCTGCTTTAGATAGCTGAGCTCATCCTCTGCATACAGGTCTTCCTCTGCCTCCTCGAATCTGGCCTCTAGCAGTCATAGGAAGTCATCTACGTCTTGCAGTTGGGGGGCTTTCCTCTTGTGGAGGGCTGCTAGCCATTCCCTTGCTTCCCCCTCTAGCCCCTCTGCGATGGTATTCACCATGGCTCTTTGGGATGGGTAGAGGTGTCCATAACATTCTAGGTGGATCTCAGCTGAGTCAAGGAATAGAGCTAGCTGGGCTGAGTCCCCATCAAACTTTCCTCTGAACTGGGGCAGTTCATTCAGCACTGCTCCTCTCTCCCCCTGTTGGCCTCTGTATGCTTGCATTTGATGTAGCTGGCCCTCTTCAGATAGCCCATCTTCGGCCATGGTTGCCTGATTTTCCCTCCCAGCACCCCAAACATTGGGGAGCGATTGGAGAGACCAGGATTCAGGAAACCTGGTAATCTTGATAGATTTCAAAAGCAGTTCTAACTGTCTGTGAAGTTTCCGAAAGATGCCCTAATTAATTCATGAGCCATGAGCCAAACTTCAAAAGAAATACAGTCATTTATTAGGAGCACCATTTCGGCAATATTCGGGTGCAGTTAGAACTAACCCCACGTAGATTTACGTTCCTCTATGACCCTGTCTCTCCCCTCCTCCCTGGCCATGTCATAAATCACATTCTCCAATTAATCACTTTGGCCGGCTGTGAAATCCAACACCCTCCTTCTGATTGCGGTTAGGAAGCATGTATGGAATGTAACTTCAATCAGCTCCATCAGTTCTCCCTCCCTCCTGCTCATGGCAACTTGAAAGCTTTGCAAGTTGACATAGGATTTTGTACAGTTTCTGGCTTAGGACCCGGGTACTTGCGGGACCGCCTACTACCACCAATAGCCTCCCACTGGCCGGTACGCTCCCATAGAGAGGGGCTCCTCCGGGTGCCGTCAGCCAAACAATGCCGACTGGCGGCCCCCAGGGGGAGAGCCTTCTCTGTGGGGGCACCTACTATCTGGAACGAGCTCCCCCCAGAGATACGGAGGATCCCGGATCTGCGCACCTTCCGCCGCGCCTTAAAGACCTTACTATTTCACCAGGCCGGCCTGGCCTAATTTTCCCCCTCTTTTATAAAAGATTTTTAAAATTTTAAATATTTTTTAGTATTTATATATTCAATTTTAAATTGGTTTTAAAAGTTTGGGGTTTTAAATTTGTCGGGGCCAAAATTATTTAATTTGATTTTATTCTATTTTTTAAATTTTGTATTGTATGTGTTTTTATTGTTTGGCTGTGCACCGCCCTGAGTCCTTCGGGAGTAGGGCGGTATAGAAATCTAATAAATAATAATAATAATAATAATGATAAAATTGCTCAGATCCGGATCGGATTGGACTCCAACTGGGCGGAATCCACTTGGGAGACTGGGGTAGGTCTTGGGAGTAGCATCTGAGTTGAGTTTGATCCTGTTTCTGTCGATGAAGTGGACAGGATTGTGGGTAGACTGGGTGCCTCCACGAGTTTGTTGGATCCGTGTCCCTCCTGGCTTGTTTCAGCTGCCCAGGAGGTGACTGGAGACTGGATCCAGGCAATTGTCAACTCTTCTTTGAGGGAGGGGATCTTCCCCACCTCTCTTAAGGAGGCGGTGGTTCGACCCCTCCTCAAGAAGCCTGCCCTGGATCCAGACTCACTTAATAACTATCGGCCCGTCTCCAACCTCCGCTTTATAGCGAAGGTTGTTGAGACCGTTGTGGCGCAACAGCTCCCACAGTTCCTGGAGGAAACGGAGTACCTAGACTCGTACCAGTTGGGTTTTTGGTGCGGGTACAGCACAGAAACGGCATTGGTTGCTCTGGTGAATGATCTCTGGCGGGCCCGGGATGGTGGTTGTTCCCCCATCCTGGTCCTACTTGACCTCTCAGCGGCTTTCAATACATCGACCATGGTATCTTACTGCAGCGACTTGGGGGTTAGGGGTAGGAGGCACTGTTCTACAGTGGTTCTCCTCCTACCTCTCAGGTCACTCGCAGTTTGTATGTGTGGGGGGACAGAGATCCACCCCGAGGCCCCTAACTTGTGGGGTACCCCACGGGTCGATTCTCTCCCTCCTACACTTTAACATCTATATGAAGCCGCTGGTTGAGATCATTCGTGGTTTTGGGGTGAGGTATCATCAGTATGCAGATGATACTCAGTTGTACATCTCCATCCCTGGCCACCCCAGGGATGCCCTTTCTGTGATGTCCCGTTGCCTGGAGGCGGTGCGGGCCTGGATGGGGAGGAACAGACTCAGACTCAGTGACAAGACAAGACAAGACTGAGTGGCTGTGGATGCCGGCACCTTGTGTTTCAGAGGTCTCATCACTTTTGATGGGGAGGGGAGGTACTTGCCCTCAAAGAAAGGACCCGCAACTTGGGTGTCCTCCTGGATTCTCGGCTATCTCTAGAGGATCATTTGATGGCCGTGACCAGGGCGGCTTTTGCACAGGTTCGCCTGGTGCGCCAGTTGCGCCCTTTCCTGGACCAAGATGCCCTTCGCACGGTCACTCATGCCCTGGTTACTTCCCGCTTGGATTACTGCAATTCCCTCTACATGGGGCTGCCCTTGGGGTACACCCGGAGGCTCCAGCTGGTCCAGAATGCGGCCGCACGGGTTGTTACGGGAGCTCCTCATTACTCCCGTGTAACACCTCTCCTGCGCGAGCTGCACTGGTTACCGGTGGTCCTCTGGATCTGCTTCAAGGTGCTGGTACTCACCTATAAAGCCCTACATGGCTTAGGTCCAGGGTACTTGCAGGACCATCTCCTGCCTGCCTCCCACCGTCCTGTCCGCTCCCACAGGGCTGCTCTCCTCAGGGTACCATCGGCCAGACAATGTTGTGTGGTGATGTCCAGGGGTAGGGCATTCTCTGTGGGTGCCCCTGCCCTCTGGAACGAGTTACCCACCAAGCTCCGGACAGCACCTGATCTCTGTTCTTTCCGTTGGGGCCTGAAGACTTGGCTATTCCAACAAATGGGCTGATTTAGATCCTTGGTTGTTATTATTTATTATCATTCGATCTTAACTGGTTTTAATTGGGTTTTTATTGTATGTTTTTATCTGTTTATTTGTTTTTACCTGTGTTCGCCGCCCTGAGTCCTGTCGGGAGAAGGGTGGCATATAAATACTTGCAAATAAATAAATAAATAAATTTATAGTAAAATATTTATTCCTGAAGGTTCTGTTAGATATTTTTATAAATTTCATGAAGATTTCACAATCCCTCCTAAATATTATTTCTATACATCTATCTTAAAAGAATGATTTTTGATTGTGCTTTCACATAGATGTGAAACTGGTTTGCTAAGTTTTCATAAACTCATGCAAGGGCAGGTCAAATTACTGGGGAAAACAAGGGCAAGATTCAGAAGGACTCACTGTACTTTCTCTCTGTTGGTTCAGTAGGCAGAGTTGCTTTGAAATACACTGGAGTTATTTCAGCTTACAAAATTCCTCATAATTGTTGCTTATAACTGCTTACAAAAAGAAATGGTTTGCACTGGAGCAATTTTGACATTACTACTATTTATTCTTGCAATTATGTTCCTTTTGAAAAAGGGGAATTCCTGGAGTAACAGCTCCCGCAATCTCCCTCCGGGACCCACGATTATACCCATTTTGGGAAATCTACATATGATGGATCTGAAGAAGCCTTTCAAAACAATGATAGAGGTAAAGCCTGAATATTCTTTCAACAACTTGTTGGGGTGGGATAAAAACTTGGTAACTTGTTTAGATAAGTCTGGGGTGGGCTGAGGTCTACATAGAATATGTAATACTTGCATTTTGTATTTTGTAGTAGTGTAGCACTGGCTTACTAAAATGGGTTTTCTTTCTTTTCTTTCTTAATTTGCCTTATTTCTCCTTTTCTCCCTCTTTTAAATGTATTGTTAATAATTGGCCATAAGCCCAGTCTAGCAAAAAGAATGTAAAAAGCCTTTCTTTTAGAAACTGGGACCTTGTGGAAGTGCTTGACAGGAAAAAAAACAGGTTCATTTACAATTAATGAACAAAACAAGTATTAGTTGGAAAAGTGCTGTGAATGTATCTTATCCATACCCATTCTGACATGTTTTCCCTTGCTTTTACTTTTATTCAGAATACAATGCTCTTTTCAATCATGCTTACATAATATTGGATGTCTAATTTTTCATGATGTAACTGGGCAGATGATTTTCCTTAAGTCAACCAGCTTTTACTTTAAAGTTTCTTTGTTGTGCCAACTATAAAAGTAAATGTAAGTCTTTGTTCCAGGTTCATTTCTCAAAAGGGAATCCTTGTTAATTGAAATGTTTCAAATAAATCATAAATTAATTTTTTTTTTAAGTGGAAACTTAAAGGACAAACCTCCATAGATCTGAAAATGACATTTAGTGCTGTTTATAACCCAGGGTTTCAGATTCAACGATGAGACAGAATTGCAGAAACATCTGGTAAAAAGAAGGGAGGAGGCTTATGCTTATATATCAACAACAACTGGTCTCAGGATATAACTATAATATATAAATTCTGTGACGAAAACCTAGAGACATTAATTATCAACTGCAAACCATACTGTTCGCCTCGTGAATTTTCCTCATTTCTTCTAATTGCTGTTTATGTTCCACCACAAGCCTGTGTAAACAAGGCATTACCCACTCTAGCTGACCAAATTATGGAGGCTGAAGCCAAATACCCTGATTCACTGACCATTATTTTGGGATATCTAAACAAGGCAAATTTAAGGAAAGAACTACCAAAATACTTTCAGCATGTCAATTGTCCCACTAGAGCAGGGGTGAAATCTAAAATTTGTAACTACCGGTTCTGTGGGCATGGTTTGGTGGTGGTGGGTAATGTGACTGGGTGGGCGTGGCCAACTTTTTTTTAAAATATACTTTTAAAAGCATTTTTTCTACAACCTCTTCAGTCGAAGAGGTTGCAGAAAAAAATGCTTTTAAAAGCCTCTGATAATCAGGCAACTCAGCTGGGATTGCCAGAGGCTTTTAAAGGCATTTTTTAAACTACAATCTCTTCAGCCAAAGAGGTTGCAGAAAAAAATGCTTTTAAAAGTCTCTGACGATCCCAGCTGAGCCGTGTGATCATCAGAGGCTTTTTTTTTTTACTTTTAAAAGCATTTTTTCGGCCAAAGAGGTTGTAGAAAAAATGCTTTTAAAAGTAAAAAAAACAGACTCTGATGATCGCACGGCTCAGCTGGGCATAGGGGGAGGGCAGGGATTTTTGCTACCGGTTCTCCGAACCACCCGCCGCCATCGCTACCGGATCAGGTGATCTGGTCCAAACCGGGACCATTTCATCCCTGCACTAGAGGCAAGAATACTTTAGACCAGGGGTGGGTCCTACTTACCTTTACTACTGGTTCACAGCAGGGCTGCGCATGCATGCTCACTTCGCTCGCGCACACACACTCTTCTGCGCAAGGACAGAATCTTCTGCGCATGTGCAGAAGCATTTTGATGGTGTTGGGGTTGGTGGGTGGAGCTTCCTGCCGGTTTTACTATCAGTTCTATAGAACCGGTGTGAACCGGGGGCAACTCACCACTGCTTTAGACCATTGCTACACAACACAAAAAGATGCTTATCAGTCCTTACCACGAGCAACTGTGGGACACTCTGATCATTGCATGATTCACCTTGTACCTGCTTACAGGCAAAGACTTAAAACCACAAAACTAACAATTAAATCAGTGAAGACCTGGACGGAGGAGGCAAAGTTAAAGCTACTGGCCCGCCTTGATTGCACTGATTGGAATGTTTTTGAAAGTACCTCTGCAGACTTAGATGAACTTACAGAGACTGTAACATCATGTGTCAGCTTCTGTGAAGACCTCTATAACTGTCTGGTTTGGTTCTGTAACCCAACAAGACAGCCACAGACTTCAGAGGATAATTAGAACTGCAGAAAAAACAATTACTACCAACCTGCCTTCCATTGAGGACCTGTATACTGCATGAGTCAAAAAGAGGGTTGTGAAAATATTTACAGACCCCTCACATCCTGGACATAAACTGTTTCAACTCCTACCCTCAAAACGATGCTATAGAGCACTGCACACTAGAACAACTAGATACAAGAACAGTTTTTCCCCCAAATGCCATCACTCTGCTAAACAAATAATTCCCTCAGCACTATCAAACTATTTACTAAGTCTGCACTACTATTAATCTTCTCATCGTTCCCACCATCCATCTCCTTCCACTTATGACTGTATGACTGTATGTTGCTACTTGTATCCTTACAATTTATATTGATATTGTTTCCTGATTGCTTATTTGTACCCTATAACTATCATTAACTGTTGTACCTTATGATTCTTGATGAACATATCTTTTCTTTTATGTACACTGAGAGCATATGCACCAAGACAAATTCCTTGTGTGTCCAATTACACTTGGCCAATAAAAAAATTCTATTCTATTCTATTCTATTCTATTCTATTCTATTCTATTCTATTCTATTCTATTCTATTCTATTCTATTCTTTCCCTAATCAAAGATGGTGCCGCCAAAGGCTGCCTCGGTGAAATGCTCTCTAATGCTTTCTTTATTTTTTATTATTCTCTGTGACTCACTATGGATTTCATACTCATGAGACCATCTGCTAAGAATTAAGCAATGTTTCTTTAAGGAGCAGCTTTCTGTGATCTCACTACCCCCTGTCTTTACAAATGCGGAGGAGATTCTAACACAGGAAGAAGCAATTTTCCCGGAGCTATGGATTACCAAAAAATTCAAACAGAGGAAGCAGAGATGAGGTAAAAGGTTGGAAATTTAAACAGGCTAAGGAATAGGGGAAATAGAACTGCTCTTCCTTCAATCTTCCTCACAAATTTATGTTCACTTGCTAACAAGATGGATGAAATACTCCTTTTAAACAGATGCAACTCTGATTTTCACAGCACAGTTGCCCTATGCTTTATTGAAACCTGGTTACATGATGATATTGATGACAACAGCATGCAAATTACAGGGCTTCGGATACATAGAGCAGACAGAATTGCAGAATCATCAGGTAAAAAAAAGGGAGGAGGCTTATGCTTATATATCAACAAAGCTGGTCTCAGGATATAACTATAATATATAAATTCTGTGATGAAAACTTAGAGTCTTTACTTATCAGCTGTAAACCATTTTACTGTCCACGCAAGTTCTCCTCATTTCTACTGCCGTATTTTTCAGAGTATAAGACACACCTTAGTTTTTGGGGAGAAAAATAAGAAAAAAGCTGATTGGCAGGTGGATCGGCCTCTTGGAATACCCCCAATCAGCTATTCCCAGAGGTGAATTTTAGCAACAGGTTCCTTGGTTGTGAGCTCTGTGCTTTGCTTTCTTTTCTGCCTCTGAAACGTCTGAAACAGAGCTTCAGAAAAAAAGCCTCTGAAGCTCTGTTTGTGGGCTTCTTTTCTGAAGCTCTGTTTGGGGGCTGCTTTTCTGAAGCTTCGTTTCTGATGCTTTTTTCAGCCTCTAAAACCTCCGTTTGAGAAGCTGGGCGGGGCTACATTTGGAGTATAAAATACACCCAGATTTTCACCCTCTTTTTTGGGGGGAAAAGGTGCATCTTATACTGCTAAAAATACGGTAATTGCTGTTTATGTCTCTCCACAAGCCTGTGTAAACAAGACATTACGGACTCTAGCTAAATTATGGAGGATGAAGCCAAATACCCCGATTCATTGGCCATTATTTTGGGAGATCTAAACAAAGCAAATTTAAGGAAAGAGCTACCAAAATACTTTCAAATGTCAATTGTCCCACTAGAGGCAAGAATACTTTAGACCAGGGGTGAAATACTCCCGGTTCAGACTGGCTCGGGTGAGTAGGTAGTGATGGCGGTGGGCAGTTTGGAGAACCAGTAGCAAAAATCCCTGCCCCCACCCCCCATGCCCAGCTGAGCTGCGCAATCATCAGAGCTTTTTTTTTCTTTTAAATGGCTCTGACGAGCCAAGCTCTGATGAGCCAAGCTCTGACGATCCCAGCTGAGTTGTCTGCCGATCAAGCAACTCAGCTTGGATCGTCAGAACCATTTAAAAGAAAAAAACTTTTTGTCTTTTAAATGGCATTGACGATCCAAGCTCTGATGATTCCAGCTGAGTTGCCTGCTAATCAGGCAACTCAGCTTGGATTGCCAGAGCCATTTAAAAGAAAAAAAGTTTTTTCTTTTAAATAGCTCTGACGATCCAAGCTCTGACAATACCAGCTGAGTTGCCTGCCCATAAGGCAACTCAGCTGGGATCATCAGAGCCTTTTGAAAGCATTTTTAACATGGTTTTACATGTAAAAAATGGTTTTAAAAGTAAAAAAACAATTGGCCACACCCACCCAGTCACATTACCCCCCCCACCAAGCCACGCCCACAGAACCGGTAGTAACAAATTTTAGATTTCACCCCTGCTTTAGACCATTGCTACACAACACTAAAAGATGCTTATCAGTCTTTACCATGAGCAACTGTGAGACATTCTGATCATTGCATGATTCACCTTGGACCTGCTTACAGGCAAAGATTTAAAACCACAAAACAATTAAATCAGTGAGGATCTGGGCTGAGGAGGCAAAGTTAAAGCTACATGCATGCCTTGACTGCACTGATTGGAATGTTTTTGAAAGTACCTCTGCAGACTTAGATGAACTCACAGATACTGTAACATCATATGTCAACTTCTGTGAAAACCTATGTGTACCGACAAGGAACATGCAAATATACAGTATCAACAAGCCTTGGTTCACGGCTAAACTTAAGCACTACATTGTTCCAAAGTGTACAACCCCTTCTTGCTTAAAAATCTGTGCTGACCAATTACCCCCCATTTCACCCGTATCTTCAATAAATGACTAGAGATGTGCTATGTTCCTTCTTGCTTCAAACACTCTACTATCATCCCAGTGCTGAAAAAGCCTACAATCAAGGAACTGAATGACTACAGACCAGTTGCTCTAACATCTGTAGTTATGAAAACCTTTGAAAGGCTAGTGCTGTCCCACTTGAAAACCATAACGGATCCGCTGTTAAACCCCCTGCAATTTGCATACCGAGCAAATAGATCAACAGATGATGCTGTTAATATGGCTCTGCACTACATCCTACAACATCTTGAATCTCCAAAGACCTATGCAAGGGTCCTCTTTGTAGACTTTAGTTCAGCATTCAACACTATCATTCCAGACAGTCTTCTAACTAAGCTAAACCAGCTAGTGGTACCTGAACACACTTGTAAATGGATCATAAGCTTCCTAACAGACAGGAAGCAGCAGGTGAAACTAAGCAGAATCACATCAGATATGTGTACAATTAGCACAGGGGCTCCACAAGGGTCTGTGCTCTCTCCACTTCTCTCTATATACCAATGACTGCATCTCAAACAATCCATCTGTTAAACCACTGAAGTTTGCAGATGACACAACAGTGATCAGTCTCATTCGAAAGTGATGAATCCGCATACAGATGGGAGGTTGAAGAACTAGCCTCGTGGTATGACCAGAACAATCTGGAACTGAACACACTCAAAACCGTAGAAATAGTGATGGATTTTAGGAGAAACCCTCCCATACTACCACTTCTTACAATACTAGACAACACAGTATCAACAGTAGAGATCTTCAAATTTCTAGGTTCTACCATATCTCAAGACCTAAAATGGACACCTAACATCAAAAACGTCATCAAAAAAACACAACAAAGAATGTTCTTTTTGTGCCAACTCAGAAAGCTCAAACTGCCCAAGGAGCTGCTGATACAGTTCTACAGAGGAATTATTGAGTCTGTCATCGGCACCTCTGTAACTGTCTGGTTTGATTCTGCAACCCAACAAGACAGCCACAGACTTCAGAGGATAATTAGAACTGCAGAAAAAACAATTACTACCAACCTGCCTTCCATTGTGGACCTGTATACTGCACGAGTCAAAAAGAGGGCTGTGAAAATATTTACAGACCCCTCGCATCCTGGACATAAACTGTTTCAACTCCTACCCTCAAAACAACGCTATAGAGCACTGCACAGAACAACTAGACACAAAAACAGTTTTTCCCCGAACGTCATCACTCTGCTAAACAAATAATTCCCTCAACACTGTCAAACTAGTCTGCTTTACTATTATTCTTCTCATCATTCCTATCACCCATCTCCTCCCACTTATGACTGTATGACTGTAACCTTGTTGCTGGTATCCTTACGATTTATATTGACTGTTTCCTAATATGATTTGATTGCATATTTGTTCCCTATGTCTATCATTAAGTGTTGTACCTTATGATTCTTGACGAATGTCTCTTTTCTTTTATGTACACTGAGAGCATATGCACCAAGACAAATTCCTTGTGTGTCCAATCACACTTGGCCAATAAAGAATTCTATTCTATTCTATTCTATTCTATTCTATTCTATTCTATTCTATGTGGAATGTGGTTTGTGTTTATGTCTGAAGGTTGAGTCATTTTTAAGACATGGAGAGTGGAAAACCCTCTAACAATAAACAAAAAGACCTTATTCAAAAAGATTTGGAAAGTGGAGCTCATTGGCTTGTCAAAGTTTCCTGAAATAATAATTATTCTACCTGAAGAAAGCATGGAGTGAAATATTTGTTTGTGGAATTATTTATACAAGCAGTTGAGCAGTTGTACAATGGAGGAAAAACGTGTGAGTATGCTGATGTTAAATTAAATTAGTGTGAATGTGTACATGTGTTGAACATGTATACTCACACACAAGAGTGAAAGGGTCTAGTTGTTGTGTTCCCCTTTCTTAGATAATCAAAGAAACAGTTACATTGTAAATGTTTTTATTGTTTCTGTGTGATCTCGTGAACAAGATGTCAGAGGCTCATTTTCTTTTTTATGAAATTCTACTATATATCCAGGACTACTGTATGCTCAAGGCACCTTTCCAAATTGTGGAATGGAAGAGAATCCCTTGTGCGGGTTTCATCTTCATAGTATGTCCTGCACAAATGACCCCTTTAAAACATATTAAAAACCGTTCCCTCCCCCCCAGTTTGACATACCTTTCTAATGTGTGAGAATCTTTTATTACATAAGATTTTTTAAATTTATATTAAATTAGATCATATGGAAATTAAAAATTGTAAAGAAAAATATACTATCAAAATTTTCAATAGAATAGAAAAAGGAAATATCATCTCCACCTTTGAATTTTGACTCTTAGTTTCTTAAAACCTTCTTCTATGTATTTGAGTCTAATGGTTGATCAAAATGGTCTCTTGTTTTCCTTCTGCTGAATTCCAGTGGTCAAAAGAATATGGTCCCATTTTCCGCATCAAACTGGGTTTCCAGGAGATGGTGGTGCTGACTGGCTATGAGACGGTCAAAGAGGCTCTAGTGAACCAGGCTGATGCATTTGCTGAGAGAGCCTCCGTCCCCTTTTTTGAGGATGTTGCAAAGGGCTTTGGTGAGTTGTTTCACTTTGGGTTATAGCTGGCATTCTTTGCAGATGTGCAATCAGTGCCATGGAGACATTTCTTTTATGTAGTAACATAAAAGAACTAGGAAGCTTGTGGAAATCTAATCCTGAGTGTGACCCAGATTTATTTATTTATTTATTTATTTTTAAATTTGTATACCGCCTTTCTTCCTGAGGACTCAGGGAGGTGTACAGCCAAGTAAAAACATAAACTACAAACATTAAAATACAATTAAAAAGATATATATAAATTTGGCCCCATGATTAAAAACAATAACAAACCAATTAAAAACATTTTAAAAAGTGTTAGGCCAGCCCGGCTTGCTGGAAAAAACGGTTTTAAGGGCACGGCGGAAGGCACCGAGGTCTTGGATTCTCTTTATCTCTGGGGGCAGCTGATTCCAGAGGGTAGGTGCCCCCTGATCTGTCCCCGTCTACACACACACACAAACACAGCCAGCCGAGGGTTAAGAAAGTACTTGGCACACACACAGGTCGTTATCTCAAACTTGGCAACAATATAAGCACTGTCTGCCAAGAGCTTTACTGCAACAGATAACATAACATTACATACGCATTGCAAATAGTCCAGCAAAACAATATCCCTTCGGCAGCTTCAGACGTTGTTCAAGTGACTAGCCAAAGTTAGTTTTTGTTTGTCATGGAGTTTTACCAGCCACCACCCTCTCTTATATAGCCTCTGGGGTGTGGTCCAGTGACTCAGTTCTAATCCCTAGCACACCTCCTTAGCTGCTGCAACCGTTTATCACACCTTTGTTGGCGTGCATCCAGGAACGACGGCTCTCCTTCCTCGCCCTCATCCGAGACACTTGGCTCCTGGCTAATCTCCTCTCCCTTGGCCGGCACCTGAGACAGTGCCAGAGGGGAGGGGCCTGGAGAGGGAGGCCTGGCTGACTCCTCTCCCTCATGTTCGGAGCCATCTTCCTCCGATGAGATAGGCTCAGAAGGCGGGGCCACAACACCCCCACAGAGAAGGCCCTCCCCCTGGGGGTCACCAGCCTACATTGTTTGGCTGATGGCACCCCGAGGAGGCCCTCTCTGTGGGAGTGCACAAGTCGATGGGAGGCCGTCGATGGGAGGCTGTCGGTAGCAGCAGGCGGTCTCGAAGATAACTAGGTCCTATGCCATGGAGCGCTTTAAAGGTGATGACCAACACCTTGAAGCGCACCCGGAAGACCACTGGGAGCCAGTGCAGCTCACGCAGGAGAGGTGTTGTATGGGAGCGCCATGCAGCTCCCATGACTACCCGCACGGCCGCATTCTGGACCAGTTGGAGCCTCCGGGTGCCCTTCAAGAGGAGCCCCATGTAGAGAGCGTTGCAGTAGTCCAGGCGAGAGGTGACGAGGGCATGAGTGACTGTGCACAAGGAATCCCGATCAAGAAAGGGCCGCAACTGGCGGATCAGGCAAACCTGACAAAAAGTCCCCCTGGCAACAGCCGTCAGGTGTTCCTCCAAGGACAGCTGCGTATCCAGGAGGACTCCCAGATTGCGAGCCCTCTCCGAGGGGGCCAAAGACTCACCCCCAATAGTCAGTGATGGAGTCAACTGACTATATCGGGATGCCGGGAACCACAGCCACTCAGTCTTGGAAGGGTTGAGCTTGAGCCTGTTTCTCCCCATCCAGATCTGCACAGCCTCCAGGCACTGGGACATCACTTCAAGGGCATCGTTGGGGTGGCCTGGGGTGGAGATGTACAGCTGGGTGTCATCAGCGTACTGATGGTACTTCACCCCAAAGCCACGGATGAACTCACCCAGCGGCTTCACATAAATGTTGAACAGAAAGAGTGAGAGGACTGACCCCTGAGGCACTCCACATATAAGAGGCCTCGAGATCGACCTCTGCCCCCCTGCCAACACAAACTGCGACCGGTCTGAGAGAAAGGAGGAGAACCACCATAACACGGTGCCCCCCCATCCCCAACTCTTCCAACCGGTGCAGCATGATACCATGGTCAAACTTCCGGTTTGCCTCCCGACGCCGAAAGACGGTCCCGTTTCTGGACCGCCAGCCCCGCTGCCTGTTAGAGCCGCTTCAATCAAGAGAAGCGGCTCAGAAGTTCCAGAATCCTGCAGGAATCTTGGAAGAGAGTGGGTGAGAAGCAGGTTGAGCCCCTGTGAGCCCCCAGATAGCTATCGTTTGCTTCTGGGGAGGAAACAGGTGCGGCTCCCTTCCAGCTTGCCGAGACTCCGGACAGCATGGGACGAGTCTGCCTAGCGCAGAACAAGGCATCAGGAGCAACCTTTCTTTACTGAAAATAAAGCAATTCAAATTGCCATGGTGGAAGAACAACTTGAACCTTAAAAACTGCAAGTATTACTAGCCCTGTGACTTATTTTAAAAACGGAAGAGTGAGTGAGTGAGTGAAAGTCCCTTGAAAATGGCGCCTGGCTTCAGTGTTAACGAGCTGAAAGCGAGAGTGGATTTCAACTAGTTACAAAGTTGCATTGTCTGTAACAAGTGGAGGAAGAGAAAAGAAAACTCTTTTTAAAATAAGTCTGATTTTGCTTCAACCTCACCCTTACTCTGATTAAAGCTGGGGGAATTTTTTAGAGGACTTTGTGGTGGAGGAAAGGGATAAAGAATTTCTTTTTTTGGAAAAGCCAGCTTATGTGGCAGGATGGCTTCTAAGCAAACTAAACAGGAAGGAAAGGCGGCAGGGGGGGGATCCCCCACAAGTAAGCCTGAACAGCAGCCTCCCAGCCAGCAGAGCCAGAAAAAAGAGTTTGATTTTGAAAGTTTAAAGGATTTTATTACCCAGGTTTTGGATGAAAAATTTAAAGAATCACAACAGGAAATTAAGCAGGAGATTAAAGAAATTAAAGAGGTGGTGCAAGAAAAGTATGATAAGGTGACTAATAAATTAATGACTGGACTATCAGAAGCAATTATTAAAACGGATGCTAAGGTGGAAGAATTTAAATCAGAAATGGATGTCAAAATGAAGGAGACTGATTATAAAATTTATGATGTTGACAATAAAATGCAGAGATTTGAAAATGAAATTACAATGATGCAGTTCAGGTCAATGGAATTTGCCATAAGGCTGAGAGGCATAAAAGAGAATGATAGACAAGATTTGAGACAGATTTGTTCTGATGCTCTTGCTGTGTTTTTAAAGATTAGCCCTGAAGAGATTTTTTGCAAAATTGATAAAATCTACAGAGTGAATTCGTGGGTGGCCAGACAAAGACAATTGCCTAGAGATGTGGTAATATATTTTACAGACAGAAGAATGAGAAATGATATTTTGCAAAAGTCTTTTCTCTCTACTGTCCAAGTGGAGGGAAGAGAGATAGGAGTTTATAAAGAACTACCACCTAAGATGTTAAAAGATACAAAGGACTTTGGATTTTTGGTGAACGAACTAAAAAAACAACAAATTCCATTTTGGTGGGATGCCCCAACTGGTATAATCCTGAGGTATAATGGAGAAAGATATCAATTAAACACTGTTGAAAAGGCGGAAGAATTTTATTCTAATGTTTTTAAAAGGAGCTCGCCATCCCTACGTACATCTACTGTGTTGGAGATAAAGGAGAGTGATAAGGAGAAACAACTTCAGCAAGAGATGGAAGAGCAGCTTAAACAGGTGGAACCAGAGGTAATGGAAATGCAGGGAGCTACAGGAGGTTTTCTGGAGGAGCCCCTGCTAGACCTTCCTTCGAAAATTGTGATTGAACCACTTAAGACTACAAGAGATGTGGCTTTGGACCTAGCCCGGATGGCTGAAGCTAAAGATCAGCGTGTAACTCAAGCAATTTCTAAGCAACTTAAAGAAAGACAACAACAGGAAAGGCCCAAGCCACAACAATATAAGAAAGGAGCCAAGAGCAACAGACAAGAATGTGAAGCCATGGGGGGAGCAAAGCCAAAGACTACCGATTCGGAAGATCTTCGGCAATTCTGCTCGCCGCTTCAAAAAAGTGTACATGACGATTAAGATCTTATCTTGGAATGTGAATGGACTGAACTCACCACAGAAAAGGAAGAAATTATTTACATATCTGAGACAATTTAATAATGATATAATTTGTTTACAAGAAACTCATGTTAGAACAAAAGATCAAAAATATCTGATAAATTCAAGATTAGGAATACATTTCATAGCCTCAAGTGTGGAAAAAAAGAATGGTGTGGTTATTTATATAAATAAAAGATTGTCAGCTAAAATTATAGAAGCAGATGAAGGTGGCAGGTTTATAGCAATTGAACTGTACACAGCAACTGCTCCAATTTTAGTGATTGGAATTTATGCTCCTAACCAACAACAGGATAATTTTTACAAAACTTTGCATTCTAAAATATTGCAATGGGACTATAGATCTATTTTAATCATGGGAGATTGGAATGGAGTAATTGATTTAAAAATAGATAAAAAGAGTTCGGCGAAGTCAAGGATTAAACTGCCACAGACTTTTTTTGATATGAAAGAAAATTTGGAATTAAAAGGCATTTGGAGAATACATAATCCAAAAGAATTGGACTTTACTTTCTTCTCAGATAGACATAGGTCTTTCTCTAGGATTGATTTTGTTTTACTATCAACTGATTTACTTGTAAAAACAAAAAGAACAAAGATTTTTCCAAGGACTCTAATTGACCATAGCCCGGTATGGATAGAAATTGAGCTGGAAAAGAGTGAGAGAAGATCATGGAGACTAAATGAAAATCTGTTTAGATATGAAAAAAATATAATAGAACTTAAAAAGCAGATGAAAGAATTTTTTGAAATGAATTTGAATAAGGGTACCCTTATTGAAATTGTGTGGGATGCGAGTAAAGCGTATATGAGAGGGGTACTCATTCATATGAACTCTAAACACAAACTGAATAGACAAAAGAAAAGATCTGAAATTGAAGCAGAAATAAAGAATAAAGAACAGCTACTTATAAAAAATCCAACAGATGAAAGAATACGAGGAGCTATAAAACTTCTGAAAGATCAATTTCAAATGCTTATGG